CTCTGGGACATGTCTAATTGTGCTCGCTCTCCTGCGTTCTCGGAGGGCACCACAGCCTCCTCAGAGGGTCAAACTGCTGAGCCCTTCGTCAGGGAGCTGTCCTTCCTTTCCAGACCTTTCTTCCTCCTCCCTGAAGTTTCCAGCTTTGATTCTCTTGGCATCAGACTCTAGCATACCCTACCCAAAACTGCTTTGAACTACGACCTCCAGTCCTTTCTTCCTGTCTCCCGAGGGTCCCCACCCCCGCAGTGCTCCGTGGCGTTAGCTCGTGGGCATTCTCCTACACTTGAAGGCCACCTACCCATCCTGCCTCTCATTTGCTTGGATTTCACTCTTCCCACGACCTTGCCCCTCCCCACTCCAGCTTCTACCAAACCTTTATCCACTCCCTGACCCCCTCCTAGCTTCCCACTTCCCGGATTGCCTGACCTTCTAGAGTGTCAGCCCACTGATCTTTAAAGTCTCTCAGTCCTGTCTGATACCTCACCTTGCAGTTCACTCTGCTGATCCATCGTAAATCCAAGGCCAATCTTGATAATCGTGTCCATGCACACACACACACACACACACACACACACACACACACATACACACAAGTTTGATAAATCCACGCTGAGCAAATCCAGCTCTCTACACAAAGTGCAAACTGGCTTATTTGAAATTTGCCACCTCGGTGCTGAAGCTATTAATAAGGTGACATCTGACAATCCTTAGTCTATGCAATCTCCAGTGTCCTGAGCTCTCTCATAGCTGCTCTCTCCTCATTCCCCCGTAACATCCTCCTCCATCATCATCTTCACCTGGCTCCTTGCTTCCAAGCTTCCCGAGAACATGGAATCAACCAGAAAAGATCCTCATAGAATCTCCGCCCTCACCGCTGCGGTCCCCACTCCTCTGCCTTGCCCGTGTTCTGAGAACTGTGGCTGCCCTGCCCTCCCGTCCCGTCCTCAGCCTGCCCACCCACTCACAGGTGCCCAGCAGCTTCCCAGCGCTCAAACCTGCCATGTGCGTGCGCACACATGCATGCACACGCATGCACACATCCTTTTCACATGCTAAACAACCAGATCCTTGAGGCCTCGGGCAGCTTTTGTGTGTGTTGCTGAGAGTAATCTTTGTCTTTAAAAAAGAAGGCAGACAGACAGAAGGAACTGTCTCATGGCTCTAGCTTGCTCTGAAGGGAGATTCAGAAGGAAATCAAGCCTGGCCGGTTTTGGCAGTGTTGCGGGGCTTTGGACGGCGCTTTCTCAGCAGCTGTCGGGAGAGGCCGGGCTCCCCTCTGACTTCCGGGCTCCTCCGTGCGGCTCCTGGGCTCTGCTGAGGTTCTCTTCGTGCTTGTCGGCGACTCACTCTCCTGGATTTCACTTGGATGGAAAGGGCCATGAAGTCGGATGGAAGACCGAGTGTGGAAGTGGCAGCATGGATTCCTGACCGGTCCAGAAGCAGGCGGCTCCCCGTCATTGGGGTCTGATTGTGGTGTGCCCACAATTTCGTTGTTTAACAGTAACTTGTGGCAGGTTAAGAGGGTGGCGGGGGCTTAAGTCTTTTTAATGGGAACCTTTATGAGGCACGTTCACTCATGAGGACTTTTAGTCGCACACCTAATGTGGAGTTAGCGAGTGAACGTGGGCTGCCAAGTGCACACGTTTTCAACCCTGGGGACACAAAGTGCTGAAGCTCACCTGTTCCTAACCCGTGAGCTCCCCTCTGCTGCTAAGTAAGCAGCTGCTGCTCACTCACCGCTGTGTCATGGTTTAGAGTTGAGATGTTTCCTACATACTTCCTTGTGGAGGCTTGCTTTCCATGGGCCGGTAGAAAGTACTCTACCATGTGGGCGCAGCTGGGTTCCAGTAGCTTGGGGCTGTAATCCTGGCTATTTGGGAGGCTGAGATGTGAGGATCATGGTTGAAGCCACCCTGGGAGGCTAAGGAAGACTTTCATCTCCAATTAACTGCCAAAACACTGGAAGTGGCGCTGTGGCTCCCGTGGTAGAGTGCCGGCCTTGAGCACAACAGCACAGGGACAGTGCCCAGGCCCTGAGTTCAAGCCCCACGGTGGTTAAAAAAGTAATTGGATCCTGAGGCCTTGACCAAATTGAGGGAGTGATCCTTTGATGGAGCCATGCCGTATGGGAGGTGGGGCAGAACAAAGTGGGGCCACCGGAAAGGTGTCTCCTGTGTTCTTGCTCCTTGCTTCTTCCTCTCTCTCCCCTCCTTCCTTCCCTCCTTCTCTGCTTCCAGGAAGAACCAGCCGTAACAATCGGCCTCATCTCCTGTCCCAGTTGCTCCTGGGTCCAGTTGCTCATGGACTGAAGTCCCTGGACTGTGAGCTGAAGCCAGTCCTTCCTCTCTAAAGATTTCCTTTTTTTCACTTTGACACTTGTCACAGTGATCGAAGTCAACTAATACACTCTGCGTAGCTTTTAGGGTGTCTGTTTAAACACCCCTTAATGGTATGGACGGGTAGTCTCCGAAACGTACAGACGTTTGTTTACCTGTGAAACCTGCAAGGAAAGGGTTAAGCGTCATCGACTCCTACCTTCAGTAGTCTCCTTTCCATCTCTTAGGCGTTCTGGATTTTTCTAGCCGTCGGCTAGGCAACTTTGCTACCAGTAGAAGACAGCTGCAGAGCAACTTCTGAACCCCAAGCCTCTTGCTCAGGATGCCAGGCAGGTTCACAGACCCTGTCACAGCCTGTGACTGGTGTGACACTTTTCAGCCCACACTCAGGTGACTTAGCATTATGACCCAATATTCCATTAGGAATGAAGAGTTCGGGTTTTGATTGTTTCTTGATCAGAAGTCACAATTCCTGTGTTCTGCCACATTCGCTTAGGTTGGGACAAGTGGGAAGTGGGTTCTAGAACTGAAGCAGCTATGGTAGCAATCGGCTCCAGAAAGATTGACCTTGGGGAGGTGGTGTGAGTTATCTGGGAACACTTTATCTGTTGCGTTGGGGGTGCTAATCCTGGCGCAGAGCTATCCAGAAAGAATGTGGGTTTGGCCTGAGCTCCTGGGAAGGGCACAAGACTGCGGCTGGGAGTCACTGGCGTGACCCAGCCCGCCCAGAGGTGGGCGCTTCCGCTGGCCGCTTGGCTTCGCTGCCTGTGAAGTTCGTTACCAGTGCTCTCACGGCCTGAAATCCGCACAGTGTCAAGCGAAGGCCGTGCGGACTGAGAAACCGGTTAAGGAGGTTTGCTTGGACACTTCGGTTCTTAACAGTCTTTACGGCTCAAAGCGGGGCTTTTCTTTTATAATGGGGAAGGCCTACCTACGTCCCCCCATGCCAGGGCTCAGCCAACTCTGGCAATTTAATAAGCAGAACACCAAGTCCTGATGACTGGCTTTGTTTTACTTAGATATTTCAAGTAGAAGATGTGGTGCATGAAGCCCACAGGACAGTGTTGCGGCGCTGGTGGTTTGTCTGTCAGTGAGCATGTGCGTGCATGCCAGGCCTGGGTGGTCTCTGGGCCACTGGTTTTGTTTAGCTTTCCTGCCCAGGCTGCTTTTGAACTATGGTCTTCAGAGCTCAGCCTCCTGAAATAGGATTACAAGCCTGAGCAGCCAGTACCCAGCTGAGTGCTACCTTTAAATCACCCTGACTTAGGCCGTGTAATCCTTCAAAACAGAAAATTCTAAATGAAATGTAAAACTACAAGAAGGTGCCACATATCTGGCAGGATTGTACTGTGTTACCTCATTCATAAACACTTTATTTGGATAAATCTTTGAGGTGCTTTAAAAAAATTATGGCCTACGGGCTGGGAAGGTGGCTCAGTGGTAGAGTGCTTGCTTTGCATGCATGAGGCCCTGGGTTCGATTCCTTAGCACCACATTTGCAGAAAAAGCTGGAAGTGGCTCTGTGGCTCAAGTGGTAGAGCGCTCGCCTTGAGCTGAAGAGCTGAGGGACAGCGCCCAGGCCCAAAGTTCAGGCCCCACGACCGACAAAAATAAATAAACAAATAAATAAAGGCCTAAAACTTCAAGGCTGGGCACTCGTGGCTCATGCCTCTAATCTGGAAGCTTGTGACTCAAAGCCAGCCTGGGTAGAAAAGTTCATGAGACTCCATCTCAGCCAATAGCTAGTTGGAAGCATGGGTCAAGCAGCCAAGTGCAAGGCAAATGAACATGAGGTTTATCAACCAAACAACCAAAAAATCCCAACTTCATCTTCAGTCATCACTTGAAGACTGAGATAAATTTTATTTTTCTCTCAAAGTTAGTAAATATATGATAATGGAGAATCTTCTTGAGGGGCTGGAGGCATGGTTCAAGGGGCAAACACAAAGTTCTGAGCATAATTCTCAGTACTAGGAAAAAGAGACTTTTTTTTTTGCCTTGTTGAATTCATATTTTGAACAATAGGGTTTTTTCCCCCCTTGAATTTGCCAAATAGAATAGCTAAGTGAGAGGGTCATGGTCAGATTTCAGCCTTGAGGAAACATGGGAGCTTATGTGAAAGATAAACTAAAGCAAAAAGAGAGAGAGAGAGAGAGAGAGAGAGAGAAAGGGTAGGGTGGGGGCCCGGCACTGGCGGTAGTGCAAGACCCTGAATTTAAACTCCATCACCTCCAAAATGTGAGGATTTGTGAGGTGTGCACCCACAGCTGTGAGCTTATGCATTTCATCTCCTATAAAGGTGTTTAGAAGAACAGTAAAATAATAATAATAATAATTGCTGGTGGGAATTCCTGGAGGCAGATTTTCCCTGTTCAGTGTTCTGTTTTTCCTGGACCCCAGAATTTTCTTCACTTTTCTGTTGGACAGAAATTTCAGTGGAAGATGCATTATTATTCTCTGCCAAAGAGCATCTCAAACCTGATGACCTCAGAACTCCAATCTTTTTTGAGAAAATTAAGTTCCTCAAAACACCAGATTATGTACTTTCCATCTCACCTGGCATAAAAGCCAAGTCCCCCTTTTGGTTGTCTTGTTTAGAAAATGAAACAGCACGTTTTAATTTTTTATATAGAATAAACTTTATTTTTTATTATAGATATGGATCAAAAATAAAAGTTTTTTATGTACATATGACATATTGTGCAAACAAAAGGCTCTTAAATACCATGGAGAGACAATGTTGTTGGAAAGAAAAGGAGGTGAATGATGGGGTTAGGATGGTCTTCCTGGAACTGCAGGAGGGGGTCGCCTAGTAAAAACAAAACAAAAGAAAATAACAAAAAGAAAAACACAGATTCGGAGGAAGCAAACAATGTTTACGTTAGAAAATAAATACAAATAATAACATGCAAAAAAATCCCACCCAAATCCAATTCAAACCAGACAAAAGAAGCAGGCAGGCATGCAGGAGAAATGAAGGAATACTATCACAGAGCAGAGTTAGTAGTTTCCAAGACATTGTATTGTCACCAGCAGCGTGCGAGACATGAGCCATTTGAGCCTCCTGAACACTCCTCCATTTCACACCATGGAATTATAAATCCTTGCAATCACGTGTAAGAGACCTCTGACTAGTACCCAGGCCGGAGCACCTTTATAAACTAGCCTATCGGACTCCTAGCCCTGGCCTTGAGACACACATTTATTTCCAAAGACTTAAATAAGTGCTGTGAGATCTCCATAGAGGGGGAGGGTACTGATCTAGAAATCTGAAGGCTGAATTTTTTTAAGTGTGGGAATTTTGAAGTTGTCAAGAGATCAAGTGGGAAATGCAATCATGATGCGGAAATCTTACAGAAAATGATCTGTAAATAGAGACTTGCTCCAGATGACTAGTCGTGATGTGTCTAACACCTGGCCAGGCCTCTGGGGAGGGGCGGCGGGGCTCATCTGTGCTGATCTCGGGAGTTGGTGGGCTTTCTGCCCTGTTTGGGAACTAGTTTCAGCTGAAATTCCCACTTATTCTGAAGTGGGTCCAGGGCATATAAAAGCTGATTTGCTGGATTTTTTTTTCCATCTTGTGAGCTTGGCTAGGCTCTGGTCAGGCCCACGGTTTGTGAAGTCAGATGTGGCAAGCAGGCAAAGAGCAGGCCAAACAAAGTTTGTCCCATTGGTTTCACAGAAAGGCTATCTATGCTTTGAGTTCCTCCTAACTGCGTCAGTCAGGAGCTCCGGGAGGGACAGCAAGTCAGAGCTCTGGGCGGGGTCATACCCTACTCTCTGTGGGGCTTCACTGTGGCTATCATCCCGGTGTCCCACACACTCGGCTCACCTCAGTCAGTGAGTGGAGCAATGAGGCCTACAGAAACAGAAAACAAAAACAAAACAAACACTTCTTTTTTTATCTTCTGAGAGAGAGGCAGGGAGAGAGAGAGAGAAGCTAATGGAGACAAAATGACCGACTTTTTTTTGTTTGAACTGTGGTTCATTTTGATCGTATCTTCCCCTAAATCCAAGACCGATTTTTCTTCAGTGCGTTTAGCTGGCTACACCAAGGAGACCGCTCCTCCATTAAACAACCAAGCCCTTGTGATTAGTACCTAACCTTTCTGCCGCGGGGGGCTGGCAAGTCTTTAGCTTGTGACACCCAGGTAATGGGGATCCCTGGTGTTGTCATGAAGAGAATGTCATGAAGTTTCTGTCAGGCTCAAGGAGATTTGTCACCTGCCCAGTAAACCAGCTATTTGGGGTGCTGAAGGGGGGTGGGGCCATCAAGCGGAGGGGACTCTGTGAACATGAGCCAAAGCGCTTTTCCCTGGGAGCTGGCTTGGTGTTCTAATCCAGCAACAGAATCTGAAACTTTTATGTCTCAAAATGCATTTGCTGCAAACATCAGGGCAACCTCCCATCAAACAGTTCCTTCTTCTTGTCTCTACTTAGCTTGGACTCAACTTTCCAAACGATGCTATCAATGGATTAGTTAGTTCCACCACGGATCCCAGCAGTCTGGGTTTTTGAAATTGTTTTCTTCCCCCCAAATGCCGCCTATTATTAACTGATCACACTGCAGTTTTTAATTTACCTTTTTGTGCTAGTACTGGGGCTTGAACTCAGGGCTTGAGAGCTATGCTTCAGCTTTTCCCCCCAAGGCTAGTGCTCTACCACTTGAGCCACAGCACCACTTCCAGATTTTTGGTGGTTAATTGGAAACAAGAGACTTCCAGGCTACCCTGTCTAGCAGGCTTCCAACTGTGATCCTCAGATCTCAGCCTCCTAAGCAGCTAGGATGACAGGTGTGAATCACCGGCGCCTGGCAGCATTATATTGGAGCTTTTTCCATGTACAACTACAAAGGTACATCATGCTGTTACTTCACTATAAAGGCTGGAATGCTGAGTTGCTAATGAATTCACCAGACAAGCAAGTCTACCTAATATAGATTATAATTTCAGGTTACATTTTCCCAAACTTTCTGAAAAATAACTTTATAAGTTGCTTGCCCCAAATACTAAGGTAAAGAGACAGGAAACTCTTCACATGGATCATGTGAATTGCCTGTAACTTGGTTATTAATAAGAATGGTGAATGATCCCCATTTTCTTGGTTCTGTCTCAGTGCTGCAGTTTATCCTGATGGTGACATTCTTCTGGAAAGATCCCTGGAAAGATTCTGGAAAGATTTCCTTATAGCTTTGTTCCCTTCCATGAGAATCTCACAAAACATTATTTGCTTGCTTGCTTTGTGTATCCCTTTAGGTAATGAGGTATCCCAGAGCCGAGGCTTGGTGAGGTCTTCTGACTACACTCTGCTGCTCTTAGTTCGAAAGCACCCTGCTCCCCTTCCATCACAAAAGGCTGATGAAGGAAACGCAGGCAATCCAACGGAGCTCTGTTTTGGAGAATGGCAGAGAGGAAGTAGGAAATGATCTGAGCCTGACGCCAGGTTCACCAGCACTTGCAGTGTTTGTCTCTTATTGCTGCCTTTGTACCTCCTGCACCGCCTGTCCAAGGATCCGGGGCTGCCTCAAAGCCCAGTGCTCCCAGGGGACTGTCCCAAACAGGAACTCTTACTACTCGTGTGTGTGTGTGTGTGTGTGTGTGTGTGTGTGTGTGTGTGTGTGTGAAATGGAATTACGGCTGTGCTTCTAGCCAGGATCTTTGCACGTGTTCTAATTGTGAGATGGCCGTGGTGGAAGAGCAACATGCAAATGACTGGAAACACGGCAGTTCCGGCCGCGTCTGCGATGAACACAGGCAAGTTTGATTCACCCACACATTAGATGCATTGCTGGGTGACACGGAAAGGTTACAGCAGAAACACTAGGATGTCGTGCTGATATCTGCACGGAGCGGAGAGTTGTTCTAATAACATGAGTGAAAACTGGACAGTTAAAACCCTTTGCTGACCCCTTTACAAGAAAGTTCTTAACACCCTCCCCCGTCAACCTCTTGCTTGTGGTAATTCTCCTTAGACATGACTCAGACGCTATTACTAACACTGCGAATCATGCAGTTGATATGAAACGCGAGTCACAGCACGGCCCTCACGTGGAATTTCAGGGGAAAGGGTCCTTCGACGGTGTGGGAACACACACGTACATCATGGAACACACACAGGACAATGCAGAGACGGAGACGGAGATGAGAACGGGAAAGAGCATGAGCACAGTTATTCTCTGATCATGGAAGGCCATCAGTGTCTTCCTCTCATCTCTTTCTTGCCTTCTGTATCTGGATGGTGCAGTCTGGGATTATGTACATGGCTCTTGCCATGGAGAGATCTGACTGTCTGGAAGCTCAAGGCAGGATGTGTGCATATTGAACATTCACTCGCGTTTGTCACGAGAGGAACTTAAAGGGTGCATTGCCCCTTGTGTTTCCAGTGAGCAGGTAACGAGAGAGCCCGTATCTGGGTGGGTGGGCAGTTATGCTTGATAAGAAACGCCTTCGGGTGGCCCAACATCTGGGTGGCACTTTAGCGTGTTTTACAAGCGCTCCCCATAGACTGGCCCGTCGAATCATCTAGGAACCAGGTTTTTGTCCCTTTTCAATCTATTCCGACCATTCCTTCAAACTGGGAGGAAATATTCTATTCTCTTTTCTTTGAATTGTCTAATTTTCTCCTTTAAAAATCTTCTTGCCAAACCGGGTGCTGGTGGCTCGCGCCTGTCATCCTAACTACTCAGGAGGCTGAGATCTGAGGATTGTGGTTCAAAGCCAGCCCAGGCAGGAAAGGCTGCGAGACTATTATCTCCAGTTAACCACCAGAAAACCAGGAGTGGTGCTGTGGTGCCGAGTGGTAGAGTGCCTTGAGGTGAAGAGCTGAGGGACAGCGCCCAAGCCAGAGTTCAAGCCCCATGACCGATCAAAAAAACCAAAAAATCTTCTGGCCAACTATAGTGGGTCACACCTGCAATCTTAACACCCAGGGGCTGGGATGGGGGCTGGGATGGGGTCCGGGATGGGGTCCGGGATGGGGGCTGGGATAGGGGTTCAGAGCAGGTGGGACAAAGAGTTCATAAGACCTTATCTCAACGGGTAAAAGCTTGGCACAGTACAACGGGCCTGTATCGCAGGAAGCATCGTGGAAGGCCTGGGGACTGAGCCAGATTAGGAAAAACAAGTGAGACCCTATTGGAAAAACGAGAGCAGAAGGCGGGGGATGTGGCGCGAGTGGTGGGCACCTGCCGCACCAGCTCAAGGCCCTGGTTCAAACCTCCCGCCCAAAACACAGCTTCCTCTTCAATGACAGACACGCACAATGCCACCATTCTCTCTTTTTGGTAAATTTAGACCACATTGAGCAAAGTAAGTATAAAAATGTAAAACTCTCAGGTTTTAGGTTCAGATATATACAAACAAGAATGAGGAAATGGGAGGGGTCCTTCAAATGTTATAATTTATTTCAGGTTCAGAAATACAATTTCACATTTTCACAACAGGTCCATGTGACCTTCAGGAACGATGCAAGTTTTAGGAATTTGCTTCATTTCCATTCAGAGAGCCCATAGGTCACCATTAAGAGCGCCCCAAAGTGCCCGGACGGCAGGTGGTAGCCGGCTCACAACAATCACAGTCCACACAGAAAACAAGAGTCTGCTTTGTACACAATTCCTTCATACAAAGGCAAAAAACAGAATTTGATTCAGAACAAGGGGGGAAAGGCAAGGGAGACAAGGGAGCAGGAGGAGCGCTGTGCATCAGGGAGAAATCACGGAGCGGCGGTGGGCTGTGAGGCGGAGAGAAACGACTTTTACAGACCGACAGCCGCCAACCCGAGAGAGTGGAGTAGATGTTGTCACAGTTTTAA